CTCCTAGGTCTTTTGGAACCTATTGTTGGCTCACAGCCACAACAGGCTCCTTCCGACGAACTTCCTCAGCGTCTTCTCAAATACGCCGTTAATTGGAACACACGTGCACGTACCTGCCTTATCGCCCAACGTGTCTTAAACTGGATTGTGATGCATTGGGCACCAGAAAAACTTCTTACCTGGCCAGATATGGCTAAAACCATAGAGGCAATGGTTCCTTACACTGGTACTTTTACCTTCTCCCTATCAGCATGCATATCCTTTCTGTCTATACCTCATGATTTCCTCTCCTACTGTATCCGCAAAGTCGAAAGTAATAATTTTCATTCGTGTATCAACCCATGCCATCCTTGAGGTTCTGGTTTATCTGTTCACCCAACAATGATTTATGACTAGCGTCAAGCTGCGATTATTAAAAAAAGTGCCGTTAAAATGAGCGCCTACTTGCCTAATGTCGGCTATCGACAGTAAAATACTCACCAAATGGTCTTTTATTGACCTTCGTTCCAGGGACCTTATGGTCCATTTGTTTTGCACCCGTGTCAGTACAAGATAGACAGATGTGAGTTTAAAAATTAGCCCTCGCACTGAGTACATATTAAGGCCTGTCGTTGGGTGTTTCGCATTGGGACCCCACGCTATTGTCGCCGGAGCTGACGTCGCTTGCGGCTGGCGTTAAAATACCCTAGAGAAAATTTACGCACATGCGTCACGCGGCATTAAGGTCTTCCACACACGTTCCTGGAGATATCATCCCTAAACATGGGCCTGTGCATGTAAGCGCAAAACTGTGTGAGCTCTGTTTACGTGGCACTTCCATGGATCTTACGGAGGTGGGACGACTTTCATGTTATGATGTACTCAAGTCAGTACATGCACTGCACGCCTGCTGCTAAAGCCGCCGTGTCATAAATTGAGAGTTTTCTGCAACCTGAATCCGTACTGTCAACCCCTCCGTTTGCTGAGACGTCGTCTCTACATTCATCTGCCTCATGGCGGTTGAGGAATACGTGGCGGACAGCCAACAATGCTGTCCAAATTTCATTATTCAGCGCCGGCTGCCTCAACGTCATGCGACTTCATAGGCAGCTATTTCCGATTCGCTGACCTGAAGATCCTTCACCGACTTCCATACGTGCTTCCGAATGGTCGCGGCTGCCGCAGGGCAACTTGAACACACTATCT